TTTTTATTACTAATTTTCATATGCTCGCCTCCGGTTTATTTTTTTACGTAAACGTTACGTTTCCCCCCAAAACGTAAAAAATCCTTTGAATCCTATATTGTTTAATTAAAATTTTTAAATCCAACCTTTTAATTACCTTATAGTTAATAACCCAGCATTTCTCGGAATCCACATTTTTTCATATGCTCGCCTCTGTTTTTTTCCTTACAAATATTGTCACTAAGCTTCCCCAACAAACGTAAATCTGTTTTGAATCCTGTCTTGTTGGATTAAAACTTTCAGTTCTAGCCTTTTTTACTACCTTAAAGCAGTTTGGTTTGAATGAAAACGCGAGAATTCTTATGCTTATAAATTAAAACAGATTAGCATGATATTTGTTTTTCAAAAGAAAAAATAAAACGAATAATAATGAAAAAAACTGATAAAAATGAATAAATATTTTCCCCCAGCAAACGTAAATGTTGCGAAACATCGCACGACAGAAAAAAGAAAGAAAAATGCAGGAAAACGATTTTTTTCAATTGTTAATAAATCCAAACACAGAAGATCGCTCAAAAGGAAATACGAACTTCCGTTAAATAAATAAAAAAAAATGCAACACCGGATGCGAAAACTAATAATAGGGGAAAAAAAGAATTCGTCGTGAATGAATTCACCATTCTGCCAATAGATGGCAGCACGTAAATTCATTCATTTTGAAGTTTTTAATTAATATCTTTTTAACTAATTGTGATTTCGGAATTTAAATGGCCGAAATGGATTCCTTGTATTATTTTCCATCTTTTGGTACTTTCCGCGTGCTTCTCCGTTCAGCGGTTCGTGAGAAGATAGCCGGATATGCATACATACCTACATACGTTTGTTTACCTTCGAATTTTAATTTTATTTAATTGTTGTCTGTAGTCAAAAATAATTAATTTAACGTGATTTCACCTAGCCTATATCCGTTCTTGGGTTTCAAGCTACAACTCTGCCAATTTTCATCCAAATCGGTTTTGTAGTTTGGTCGTGAAAGCATAACAAACAGACACACAGACAGACAGACACACTTTCGCATTTATTATATTATTAAGGATTCAGGAAATATTGCACCTAGGCATATACTTCCAATTACAGAGTTTTATCAAATTAGGTGGGAATTTGTATGAAAACACTTTGGTTTCTGTGAAAATTGAAAATAAAAAGTTAAGAGAATTAAATATTTATACTTCCCCGTAGAGTAAAAGTTTCAACGAGTAAAATGTTCCTCTTATGCTCATCTATATATAAACTAAGTATCACAATTCTATCTGCAAAATTTTCAGAGATGTATTAATTTTTAAATTTAAAGGGGGTGCACTCAAATTTACATGGAGATGTTTATTGCAGAAATGCGAATTTATTCAAAGAAAAACTGCGAAATGCAAAAATTTCTTTACAAGTACAATCATCCTATCATTATGGATTGAAAACAATTTGCCAATGACGCATGCTGCTACTCAGTATGCGTCTTATACTGGCAGATAGTTGCAAATGTCGACTTGATAAAGAATGGAAGGACAACTTGAGACAATTAAATTTAACATAAGACAGGAAAATAGCCTAATATCGGACAATGATATTAAATCATTTGTTCTCAGCGTTATGCGTATTATTATGTTTTGCCTAAAGGCTGTGGCTACTCGTCCTTTAGGGTTGCAGAGTTGTAGAAATCGCTAAAATTATACTAAAATTATTTTCAAATTTGTATTTCATTTTTGTTCTTTTTTGCCTAATTCTCCACACTGAGAGTTGGATTATCAACGAAAAAGATAAAAACGAGAAAAGAAGACAGAAAATGAATGAAAAAGTAAGAAAGGCGTAGGATTAGGCTGCATATCAAATAGTTTCGGAAAGCACCGAAATTCATTCATTGAGTACAACTAAAGCCTTGTTCCCACAGTGTGTGGCTTAGCAAACCTCGAGTCGCTTGAGGTTCGTACTTGTGGACTGTGGTCGGTGGAATTCTGACCAGTCGCGCCTTTCGCACGGCGCATGGTTGGGAAAATCTTTCGGCATAGCTCGAGTGAACGGACGCTATCTGACCACTGTCCCGTCCTTTGATGTGCGAGCTATTTACTGCCATAACGCGGGGAACAACAGATGCACTTACAAGTCCACGAGCCACATCGATTCTTCCTGTTCCGCCAACGAGGAATAACGCGAATCGCGGACGGAACTCGTGGAAAGAGAGGCCGTAGGAACACGGCTTAAAGGCCCTATATTACCACGGGATTTTCGCCATCTTGGGACAGCGATTTGGACAGGTCAGTTTCTCCTTCGATGTGTCCTTGAGTGTAGGGGGGTGGACGCCCTTTCTTTACGATCTGACAACCCCCTAAAAAGGGATGACAGTTGCCATGTGTAATTGCCTTTTAGGCGATGCAAATAGTTTTTTTTTTTTTTTGGTGTTTGCATTTTCGCTGTCCCTTCATTTCCGCATTTTTAGGATTTAGTGTTTAAAAGTTTTAAATATGTTTTTTAATATCTTTAAGATTCACTGATTGCAGCTTTTTTCCATCGTGTCTGTTGTTCATTTTGTGGCTGGCCTCTTTAACTGGGGTTTTCTCTGTAGTGTGCTTTTCTTATTAATAAATAAGAAAAATAGTAATTCAACAGTAATAGTAATGTTCATATGTGAATACAGTCAATAATTGTATTAGGAGTGCTATATATGGATGAAATAAAATTCACTTTATAGAAATGAATTTTTGCTTACTGAATTTTCAAATCAGTATCATGTATAAAGCAAATTAGCATAATATATATATAAAAGTTTTTTCTTCAAAGTTTATTGCTTTAACGTTTAGAAATAGAAGATAAAATATGCAAAAAATTAATCACACCTGGATCTGAATTCTTCATGCAATGGGTTAAATGGATTTTTTAAATTGCTTAAAAATAAGCATGCATGGTTAAAAATGAAGACAGTTAAGTTGAAATTCAAGAACTGAATTCTTGCTTTTGAATAAAATGTACTCATTTTTTATTCAAATATACTCATATAAATAAGTACTTGCAGTGGCGAATCCAGGATTTGGGTCTGGGAGGGGCTGAGGTCATAAAAATTTCGTATCGTCATGACGAATGTCAAACCTCATGGCTTATGGAAACCAAAACACTTTAACATTACAGACTTTACTCACCTGTCAATAAGACTCATAAAGAACACTACAATACTTTCGATAATTTAATAAAAAAAATACAGTGAAATAAGTAGCCAAAAAGTGTTTTCGACTCTGTGAACGCTATAAGTTCAAATGGAATGACTAGAAAAGTAGGAAAATTTTCGATCCTGTCAAGCCAGAAAGCAATGTTCTCATGTTTTTATTATTTTTTTAAAGAAAAGGGGATTAAGAGCAAACTTCTGTAGTGATTTTAAATAAAATCAAGAATTCTGGTTTTGCTCTGGGAGGGGTTGCAGCCCCATAGCCCCTCTCCCAATGGATTCGCCACTGAGTACTTGGTAAATATAATTTTTAAATAGTTCATTTTCCCCATCTTTTAGCATTTTTTAGTAGACTTGATTTCGTGAAAAAAAATTAAAGAAAACGGGTTTAAAAATTTCATTACACAAATATTGAAATAAAATTAGCTTATATCAAACTAGTTATTTTAAACAACAATAACCTAACATAAATAAGTCCGAAGGTTACAAATTTATAAACATTTATCATTACCATATTTTGCAATAGCTGTAAATAAGTTTAGTAGTAATTTAGAATTTTTTTTTTTTCAAAATTTAAGAACTTTAAAAATTTTTAATTATTATAACTTTTTCCACTCAATGCATTAACAAAACCTTTCTTAATTCTATTTGCCAAATATACTTTTAACGGTTTAAAATGAATTTTGAAACGTTAATTACAGTTAGAGAAAAAAAAATTGTACAACAATTAAATTGTTATCATTAAAAAGATATTTTTTCGCTCTTTAAGGTGATGTAAAAATAATTTTCGTACCATAAAGTATTTCAGAAGTTACTGGTGAAAAACGTCTAAAAATAGCTTAATTTTTGTTATTTAATTAAATAAATAAAAATCTAATTCGAATTTTAAAATAATTTTTATGGCGTTACCTCCCTCTTGTGCTAATCCATCACAGTGCCAAATTTGGTCGCCGTAAGTCTAACGGTGTGGCGTGAGTAAAGAACCAAAAAACGAACAAACACACACATACTTTCCTTTTTTATATATATAGTTGCATTTAGAGTAATCGTATTTATATGTGTAAAATAAAAGAGAGTGACTGAATATACTTTGCAAACCAGAATATATAACTAATTACCCCCACTTGTCTATTTTACTATGCTACTATAATCCACATCTAAAAACTTGTTAAAATTGTAATAATCTACAAATATTTTGTAGAAATTCATTTATGTATCTCTTAGAATTGATGGAAATATTGTAGACCTGTAAACAAACCTACAATACTTTTATTTTTATGAACAATTTTTAACTTTCGAACTCTTACATTTTGGCTTAAAATATGTCATAATAGAAATAAATAAAGAAATTGAAACAATAGAATTAAATAAATTGGCGTATAAAAGTAGAAAATGTATGAAAGAAAAGTTTTTAATAAAAAAAGAGCTTCTTTTTTTTAAAAAAAAAATATGATCAATTTTATTGATTTTTTTAAAAATCTAATTTCCCTTTTTTGACACTATTAATCATTTCGCAGCTCTTAGACACAAACGTTATGATAATATGTAATAAAGCAGTAATTTTTATTATATCTAGAAAATTAAAATTATGGTCTCATTAACGATACCTCAATCACGTACATAAAAAAAAGTAATATTTTCTATAGACTAATCTAGTTAGTCATGAAATTCAAAATTGAAAATTTCACTAAATCTTTTTACATCATACAAAATAATAATAAAAAAAATCTATGATCGATGATTTAATAAAATCGACATCTTTAAATCATTTATAAAAAGAGCTCAGCTTAAAAAAGAGAAAAAATTACAACCATGTCAGAAGTGGGATTCGAACCCACGCCCACATTCGTGGACCAGAACACTCAGCCCTGCAGCAGGGGAAGGTTTTCCCTTGAGTCTGGCGCCTTAGACCGCTCGGCCATCCTGACACATACAATGATTGTTTATGTTATGTAATGTTTCAGCTCTCACAAGTAAAAAAAAAAATAAATAAAACCGTAAGAAATATAATTTGAATACGAGAAATCGAATGCATTTCATTTCTGCACTGTTGTTAGGGGCCATACGGAATACTAAAAAGAAACATTAGATTTCAAATATGTGAATTTGCGTTACATTCCTACCCGAGTTCTAAATATAGTCCAATAAATTTGCGCATGCCGTCATTGATTCGACTGAGTAGAAAAAAATTAAGAGTTTCTGAAATTATGACAGAATACGAAAATATTGGAACATTAGTTTCTAACTCAATTTTTATTTTTCAGTTTGTGTTTCGTCTTCAGAAACACTTAGAGTATGCTTTTAGATAGTTGTGCCATCTGTATGTGAATTTTGTAACTATTATTTGTTTACATGAATCGGTATTTTACCCAACATGAGTTCTTTTTCCCACTTTTCTCTAAAAATATTTTTCCTAAATAAAGCTTAAATGTAATACAAAATAGCTTTGCAAAAATTTCTATAAAATATTATAAGTTGTAAGTAAAACATCAACCCCGCTAAATAAAAGAAAAGAACCTCTTTGAAAAGAGTTGGTTGTATTATATTACCTGCAATACAATCCTTTTCGAAACTTCAAACTTTTCTTTCTTCAGTCTAGGGATTTTTAGCTACAAAGGCGATCATACCATAAGAATCGTTATGTTGAAAATCAAGTTATTTTTGGGTATAAGATGTCTCTCAGATATCAGAAGAATGCAATTTGTAAGAGATCACAAGATATGGATGTGAAAAATTATTTGGAGCCAAATCTGCTATGATGTTGATAAATACATATTTGTAAAATTTACACAAATAGACATTGATTGACAAATTATCAGTTAGTCTGGTAATTAATATTTTTCGAATGAGTTAAATGTTAAAATGGTTAGATAAAAATTAAAACATTTTGTTCTTGATACATGTTTTACAAATTTATGATTTCTTTTTAAAAAACTATTTTTCATTTACAATTAGAGAAGATTTTTCATATACTATTTGGGAAGATTTTTCATATACAATTAAAAAAGAACAATATTTTACTTCATTCTAATTCTTGAGATTTATTCTAATATTTGTGAATTTTTTATCCATCAGCTAGCAATTGAAAGTTTCTTTAAAAAAATTGCTATGTTCGAAATGCTAACAATTTTCAAAAAACATTACCTTCTCAAAAAATTTTCACTTTTTTTTCTTGGCTTGACAAAAATGCTTTTCTAATTTTTACTAAGTAATGAAGGGAAAGTATTTACAATAAGCACTCATTATTGTGTGGGCACACCTATGATTATAGTTTGATTCAATAAATCAGCATTTTTTTTAATGCAGATACATGAAGCCAGTCGAGGATAAATCTGGTAGACCTGAACCTTAGCCAGATAATAAACCAGGGATGGGGAACCTGTGGCCTCTGGGGTGAATCCAGGATTTGGGTTGGGAGGGGGCGCTGAGGGCATAAAAATTTTGTATCATCGTGACGAATGTCAAACCTCATAGCTTATGGAAACCAAAAAACTTTAACTTTACAGGCTTTACTCACCTGACAATAAGAATCATTAAGAACATTACAATACTTTCGATAATTTAATAAAAAATACAATGAACTAAGTAGCCAAAAAAATGTCTTTGACGCATCAATGCTACAAGTACAAGTGCAATGACTAGAAAATTAGGAAAATTTTCGAGCCTGTCAAGACAGAAAGCAATGTTGTCACATTTGTATTATCTTTAAAAAGGGAAATTAAGAACAAACAGTTGTAGTGATTTTAATAAAATCAAGAATTCTGGCTTAGCTCGGGGGGGGGGGGTCTGAAGCCCTATAGACCCCCTGGATTCACCACTGTGTGACCTTCTTGAGTTTCTTATGTGGCCTTAGAGTTATTAACAATTTGCATTGAAATTATATAATTGTCTGTAATATAATAATAATTACAGAACAATAACCCTTAAGATTCTGCTTGTGTGGTCTTTTGCCCAACTGCCAAAATTTAATGAGGCATTTCGGTGCAAAAACATTCCCCACCTCTTTATTAGACAATAAACTTATAAGCTATCGAGTTCTGAACATTCAGATACAACTTCTGTGTGTGTTATGCAGGATGTTCAAAAAGTTCTCTGATAACTTAAACCAATTTTTTAAAAAATAAAAAACATTTTGTAGGAAAATAAAACATCAGCTCACCAGTGATTAACTTTTAAGGTAGAAATCTATCGACTGAGGTCAATTTTACATGAAGATGCACTATGAATTTTCTTATTAACTCATTAACGCCCAGCGTCCTCATTTGAGGACAGTGAATAAAACAGTGCGTAGAATTTTTTCGATTACTTCGAAAGTTTTGATTTCTTTTAATAAAGATAGATGGTTTTATGATGAACTTTCCTGCAAATTTCCATGCAGCTGCTATTGATTATAATTTCGTTATTTACAATGCTGTTTTGAGATTTTTCAAGTCTCGCAGATGCATTTGGTTTTCGCGCAGCTGCATGAACTAAAGTCAAGGTGAATAATTATGTCTATTATAATACTTTATTTTAGAGTACTAAGTTAACATAGTAAATTACTTTGTTATTTTGAAATTTTCCTTTTCAAAAATGTCACATAGTGCTGTCCTCAAATGAGGATGCTGGACGTTGCCTCTAACTTTTATTCCAATTTTCAGAATCAAACTGTGCGCAATGATTGAATTAAAAACTCGTCCAATGTTTTTAAAACCCATATTCATATTATATCTTTTTTTCAGGAAAATATAATGTAAAAACCATGACTTTCAACCTTCGTAAGCTCGAGAATATTTGTTTTCAGAATAAATTGAAGCAGATATTATTGCTATTCTGTCGGACATTGATGAGTAAATGGATGAAGATTTCAACGATGAATATACAACTATGCCTGCAGTACCTGATATAGCAAGTATAGCTGAAATTGAAATTTCAGATAAATCAATGAATGTATGGAGACTGTGCGGGACCAGCTTCATCAAAAATGAAATGATGTAAACGAAAAAGACAGAAGTAAATTGATCAAAAGTTGATCAAGAATATTCAGATTTCAATAAAGAAATATGCATAAATAAGATTTCCGAAGATGTTATAAATGAAATGTGCCAGTTAAATATAACAGAAATGTTTGAAAGTAATTTTTCGCAAAATTTGTCCAGTTTATCTATCGTTATTATTAGCACGAATGTAAAATATTTACAATAAAAAGTAATAAATTTAGTGTACAATATCTGTAAATATTAAAAAATAAATTTATATCAGATTTGTCTGAGAAATTCAATGGCTTGGAATTTATTGCAATTTTGATATATTGTTAAAAAGTTTACTGATTTCAATAACAGAACGGACTTTTTATCGCTTGAACACCCAGCGTCCTCAAATGAGAACGGCTATAATTTCAAAACTAACAAAAGAGTTGTCTGAATTTCACATTTTTACTCTAATTAGACCATAATAATTTATATTTTAAGTATTCATCAAAATATACTCAGCAGAATTAAGTTGAGCATTAATGAGTTAAAAAAGAAATGTGTTACCAACTTTTAAAGTTAAATACATTATACGATATACTGCTAAGTGACTTTTCGTTTGTTATACTCTTTTAATCTAGCTCATTTATAAAGCTTCTTCTTCTAGTTGGTGTTGCAAAATACCTTTTTTTTTTCCTTTTAAGTAAACAGAATGGCAATTTTCTTATCTGACCTACATTTTTTTTTACAAATATATATATGCACGGCAAAAAATAGCACAATTATGGCAAGTGATATTTTGAATACAATTCTCTTACAAGGAGCAATTTTAAATAAACTACTATTGAAGGTCACAACTTATGTCTCAAAATTAGCTTGAAATCAGTGGGATATCTATCTAGCTAATAAAGATTTTAGCTGTGCATTTCTAAGTTCTTTTTTTTTCAAGTAAGTTATTTTACTAGAAAGAAGTGTGAACTTAACAACTTTCACACAAAAAAAGAATTTTTTTTTACCTATGTTTCTGGCACAAAAACTGATTAGTGAAATTGCATTTCATCTCATAAACTGTCAAATACTCCTAGTTGCTAAAAATTAATCTCCATGGCACAAACTATTTTTGGTTATGCTGCGACAAACATATGGTTTTAAACTTATCACATTTATACTATTAATCTAAACGAATTTTAAATAACAATTAATAACCAGAGTGAGTTCTCCCCACAACTTTCTCATATGTTTAAAAATATTGCAATATTTTTACCAGGGATGAGATTGGCAAAAAAGCAAAAAGACTGAAATCATGCGTGAGCAAAAAAATTGTACCATAAATTTATATGAGAAAGAAGTAAAAACATCGGAACACACAACATGATGAAAATATTACACTATAATAATTAATAGCTTAATTATTTATAATTCAGTAAGTATAAATAAGAAAAGGTATATTAAATTATTATTAAATCATTCACATTAAAAGTTAACACATCATCAGGGGCATCAGAAAATACAAAATTATACATTAAAATGTATTTACCACTTGTACATCACTGAGATGCAACATTCACCCAACAGAAGTGTGAGAAGAATTATATTTAATAGCCTTTTGATAAAAGTTAGCTCAAAAAATAAAAAATGACAAAAATTTCTTTTGCTTCATGCAATTGTGTAAAATATATTAGCTCTTTATAAATTATAATAATATATCATATGCTGAATTTTGTTTTATTTCTTTTATTTTTATACATTTTTGCAAAAGTAACAGCACAATGATTTTGCACCTTATAAAGTGAGAGGGGTCAAGAAATTGTACAGTTACAATGACAGATTCATTTAGCACTATTGCTATTTGAAACCCTTTGAAACATTTCCTTAATTGTTAAAGAAGTGGTTTTCTTCCGTTTTTTTTTAATTGTGTGGCTTTTGTTGGTAACAGATCTCCATTAACATGCTTCACCCCTTGTTTTGGAGGCCTCCTA